AAAGAGTATTAGTTGGCTACAAATATTCGTTCTTTTGGGTGGTTTAATTTTTTTATATATGATCGAGTCAAACATACGTTACTTCACTCTCGGACAGGTCTTTGGCTTGAGTGTATAGCATTTTCAGCCTCGACAAAGAGCTATCACCAGGCTTTTCAACCAACTCGGGAGCTGCATGCCCAAGAAAGGCTTATTCTCAGCACAAATTTGTTGGCTGATCAAGACTTCAAGTAACAATGTGTATAAATCAATAATCTGATACCATAAATGTGTGAGATAACATAAATAGGTCATTATTATTCGTAACAGATTATATGGTAAAAACTAATCTTACCAATTCTCAGCATTTATCCATAAGATAAGCTAATTATCATAATCAATGTACAGCTCATTTCTTGCAGTGGATGCATATTAACATATATACATCTACACAGCTGGCTCAATAAGCATTCGGGCTAGTAATTTTATAAAGACAATCCATAATCAAATTATATGACCCGCGCCATCTGGGGAAAAGAATAAATGGGTTAAAAGGGTAAATGAAGCTCAACTCGTTATCTTGCTAAGACAATCCCTGTCCCAAATCCCAATCCCAAACACAAATTCATTTTAACTGAACAACATTCAGTAGAAGTTTTAATAGTGTGTTCAGATTCTATATAAATAGTAGGTCAAAATAAAAATTACAAAGACACAATCCCTAAGAGCAATTTTTCACTTCTCAATCACACAAATATCCGAAGCATAGTGAAGACAAGATTATAAAGACACGATCTTTTTTTATTTTATTTTTTTTACTTAATTCGGACAAACAAGAAGAAGACAATCCATAATCCTGGCTTCTGATCAACAACATTCTTATTAAATCGGGGGAAGAGGGTGCGGTCCCACCAGATGAAGCGCACCATAAGAGGGTGAGCCTAGTAGCACCATAGTGAGGTTCCATCCCAAAACCAATTGGTGATGGGAGGAATAGCCCACTAGGCTTATATACTAGACTCATTTTCCCTATAGAATCAATGTGGGACAACTCACAAGTGATAGGAGTAGCCCACTAGGCTTATATACTAGACTCATTTTCCCTATAAAATCAATGTGGGACAACTCACAAGTGATATTCCAACACGCCCCCTCACTTGTGAGTCCTTCGTAAGCCCAAACCCACATAGCAGAAAGCCCAAACCCACATAGCAGTAAGCCCAAACCCACATAGCAGGCCGGTAGAGAAATAAGCCCAAGCCCAGAGCAGGCCGGGTAGAGAGAGTCATCGCAGGTCCTAGGACAGGCCCGCTCTGATACCATATTAAATCGGGGGAAGAGGGTGCGGTCCCACCAGATGAGAGAGTCATCGCAGGTCCTAGGACAGACCCGCTCTGATACCATATTAAATCGGGGGAAGAGGGTGCGGTCCCACCAGATGAAGCGCACCATAAGAGGGTGAGCCTAGTAGCACCATAGTGAGGTTCCATCCCAAAACCAATTGGTGATGGGAGGAGTAGCTCACTAGGCTTATATACTCATTTTCTCTATAGAATCAATGTGGGACAACTCACAAGTGATATTCCAACAATTCTTAAACAACATCAGCTGATTATACCACTTAAAAAAAAAAAAAGAAATAACAAAAGTATTACGGGGGGAACCGATACACACTAGATTGCAGCTTCTTGTGCATCTTGTTTATCTCGAGAAGCACCTCCTCCTGATCTTTCCTCAGACGATCGAGCCCCTTCGAGTTGTCAAGCATTCCGGCGATGTCCAACGACATCATCGTTTATACCCTCGTCGGAAAATCTAACTGAATATACGTCAGTAGCTCCGAAAGACTTGATAAGGCTACCAAAATTCAATCTTGGATACACATTTGGCCTGAAAATTGCGAAATTAAATTTGGTTCTCAGTTGAATTTGAGATGAATTGAAACGATTTTTGTAGGGAAAGTGGTTCAGGCACAGTCGCAGAGACAGACGGAGATTTTGGGGGTTAAAAAATGGAAGCATATGACGGGCGCCACGTGGCCTAACATAGTCTAACCCCGACCAGCGAAGGTTTGTCAAAATGGTAAAAAGTTTGACTTATTTGTCCATACGATCGTACGAGTACAACACCCGTGTATCACATACTTGTTTAAACATTATTCTTTAAATTTTAAAGTTAATAAGAAAAATTATTTTAAATTTTATTTAATTTTTTACATAAAATATTTATTATTAAATATTTTGGAACGACACTTGTTACTTGTGCGACTTACATGTGTTATATTATAGTAATTTTTATAACTTATGTCATATAACTACTTGAAATATAAATAGTATTAATTGTTAAATAATTTAATTAATATTAAAAAAATTATTATTGTTACAAAAATAAATATAATTTTTTTTTGTACATACAATAAGATATTAAATCGAAGTTCATCAAGAGATAATTAATTTGATATATTATATATGTAAAATTGATAAAAAAAATACAAAAGTTATTAACTTTTAAAATATATTTACAATTCAATGGTTGTAATAAGAAATGATATTAAAATGCAATTAATACATGTAATATGACCATAAATAATCAACATATTTATAGATAATCCGAACCTAATTATTTTTGGATTGAAAGTAAATTAAAATCTACCCAAGCCTAATAACGAAGTATGTAATTTTGCCACATAGGATCCTGAAACATGTGAGCCTGTCACTTAGGCTCAGCACGTTCTGAATTAATAGATAGGGGGATGTGATTGTGTTTTTTTAGCATAATTAGTCCAATATTTATCTATTAATCTCATCAATATAAAGATAAATTTTTCCAAACTTAATTAATAAATTCTAATCTCATCAATATAAAGATAATTTTTGCCAACATCATTAAATTCTAATGACGTTGGGTTGGAAATTTAAGTAGCACATCAGTGTAGAAAAATAAAATCTCAGCATAATCAGTACAGCAAAAACTTTTACAAATATAAATGGTGAAGAGTAAGTAATATATGGGCGCACATATGTTTTTATTCATATTATATCCCACCACGAGCATATATTAATTTGTGTAATTTTAAATTATGTACGGTTAAAATATATATTCGTGCGTTTAAGTTCCATAATTTGGGTCTTGAAAAAAAAAATGCAACTCTTCTATAACTCTCTTAAATTATGAGTCCTATAATCATCTATAAGATGAGTATTCCTCGTATATAATTAATTTATGAATGTGTTAAGCTTAAGCCTATGTTTGGTTCAAGTAAGGGAAAAGGAGGAGAGGGATTTAATAGAAGGAAGGTGAAGCAAGAGAAAAGGAGGGGAGGGATTTTAATAGAAGGAAGGTGAGGTGAGGGGGGAGGAAGGTGATGTAAAATCATTTTCCTTTGTTTGTGGGGATTTTGTAGGATTTGAGTGGAGGAAAAATGGTAAACCTTGTTGGTTAGAAAAATGGAAGGGAAAGAAAATATTGTAGAAATGACAGTTATACCCTTAATGATGTAAAAAATAAAAATATAATATAATTTACATAATAAGGTCAAAAAAGTAATTTTGTTGTTAAAAATTTTCCCTCCCCTCCAAATACCCTCACTTTTGGAGGGGAAAGTATTTTCTCTTGGAGAAGGGATTTGAAGGGAAAATCCTAACCCCTCCCCTTCCAAAAAAAAATTGAACAAAATTCCCTCACCTCCCTTCCTCTCTCCTCCATTTATCTTCAACCAAACACTGCGTAAATAACACGGCTGGAATAACATCTCAACTTTGAGTCTTTCCATCTCNCGATTAAAATTCACTTTATTTCACAACTATAATACAACAGCTCTTGCCCAAAATCCATACAATATACAAGTTTTTGCTTCCTAGTCAGATTTGGGTCCAATTTCCAGTACCCTATCCATAACTGGAAAATTCCAATCAAAACTACATTTTTCATAATCAAGAATTCATGCAAAAGACACTTAGTTAACAGGAAAAATTAAACATCTTTAGTCTAGCAATTAATTTTAAATCTAACTACAGCACAAGAAAGAATTCCTAGCTTCATCCTCCATTGGTGTTTTCGGCGTGTCACCATTGTTATCATCTCTCTTGGCCATTAACGAGCTCGTCCCAGGAGACTCAGGTGGGAAAACAGCATTCCTATCTGAAGTGAAAATCCTATGTGGCACGACAGGCGAGATTGTCGACAAATATCGGAGGAGCATTTGTGTGATTTGGGTGAAGTTCGGGCGATCATTTGGGTCTTCCTTCCAACATAGTGTCACGATTGACGCGAGTTCTTCCGGAAGGTTCTCGGCACTCGGCCTTGCATTCTGAACAAAATTTTTTTTTCCAATCCATCTTTAAATGTGATAACTTTTTTACTTTAAAAATTTTAAATAGTTTATATTATTTGATTTTTTTTTAGAAATTGTAATATGAGGGCTATTGGTTGCACTTGCATATTCACAAGTGGACAAATTTTTGCTTCATATTTTTGTGTAAATAGGTATTCTACAAAAAGTAGCTCTTTTAAGAATGATTTATGGGTTCTACAAATTATCCAAAACACATAAACCGCACTTGAGAATGAGCCCACTTACCTTCGCCTTGGCGGAATTTTGTTTCATTTATTTACCTATTATTTTACAGTTTGTATGCTCAAACTTTCCAGATAGTACACACTTGCCTAAGGTTTTCATCGTGCTATTTGTAGTTTACAGAAAAACTGAGGGATATAAATCTAACGAATATAAAAAGTTCAAGGATATGATGAAAAAAAATATCTGATGTTATTATCAACTTACACCAGCTCCACTACATATAGGTGAAAAATATAAGATGAATGTGACTTCAAGGGTGTTTTCCCAACTTTAGAAGTTAGTCCACCCTTTTATTATAAGGGGTAATTTCAAACAATCTCACAAGCCACTGTCTAAAGTGATTCGTTCCATAAAAAGTTGACAAATACCATAAACTTTCTTCCACGATCGAAATTTGAGTTTAAAATTGAATAAGTAAGAAATGACCGAAATATTCAGAAGTATATATCGGGAGAAGGAGAATTACCTTGAAAGCAGCAGCATAAGCAGCCTGTAAATTAGACATGCCTTCAAATGGCAACTTGTTATGAATGAGCTCCCACAGCACAATTGCAAAGCTGTAGGCATCCACTTTATGGTTGTAATGCTTCTTTTCTCCATGCCTTAGTGTCACTGTACTGTAGAGCTGCAACCAATATATTCAGAATAAAAGAAAATATTTACAGCAAAACCAATTTACACAATTAAACAACTTAAAAGAATAAGTTGATAAAAAAATAAAAATAATATATATGTATATATATATATGTGTGTGTGTGTGAAATAAAAATATAGAAACTACCTCTGGAGCCATCCAGCGATAAGTTCCAGTCTCAGCAGTCATCATTTCAGTCAATGACTCTTCTCTTGCCAAACCAAAATCCGCAAGTTTTACAGTTTTATGATCTTCTGTCAATAGCAAATTTTCTGGACGCAAAAAATACGCAAGTTAGTATTTCTCTTGCAAGTTTTTCTATAAAATTACAGATCAAATCCCCATTTAACGTAATCAGAAGCATCAATCATGTGTTCATACTTCTACAGAGTCTTGTATATCAAAAAACTCAATTCATATTCAATTCATACTCAAAATCTAACTTAACTGTAACCCAACTCCACTATCCTCAATATTATCAATATAATTAAATAATATCAACCAATCATTCTTACACATCACATCAATTTTAATTTACTATCCATCCACTCATATAATTTTAACTAACTATCACTTCACATTATCTCTCTCCTACTTTGACATTAAATCAACTTTAATTATTTTATATTAAATATTATTTTAATATAAAATTAAAATTCCACTAACAACTAACCATACCGCTTTTTTCAAAATCAACTATGGTTAACAAAAAAACTCGTTTTGAGCGGATATATTTGTATACAAACATGCCCTGAGTCAACAATTTCCTAGTTCAATTGCGAGAACTATACAAATTCCATAGAGATTAAAAAAAGTTCACGGCTACTATTGGATTATTAGTTATTACAAACTTCAAACTGAAACAAAACAAATGACCCATTACCAGGTTTAAGGTCACGGTGTATAATTCCATGTGAGTGTAAACATTCCATTGCCCGAGCTATATCAAGTGCAAACCCGATAGCCACCCGCATATCGAGGCACCTGGGTCGCAAGTTAATCAAATATTTTCGTAATGTCCCCCCAAGTAGAAGCTCAGTTACTATAACCATTACAGGCTCTTTACNAAAACTGTTAAAAAAAAAAAAACAAGAAGAAGAAGAAGAAGAAGAGTCAATAACTTGTTGTGTATGACTATTTTTCTCTCCTTTTTAAAACGCGAGCCTCAACACAAGCATTTCGTACTAAAAAAAAATACCCAAATCCAAAAAGTATGTCTCAATCAAACACAAAATCACTAATAAAATAGTGGATAGATTTTGTGGGTAAATAAATGGATAACCTTAACCAAATTTTTGTGTTGGACTCTGGAAAGCATTTCGACTTCCCTTCCAAATCTGCCCTCCCTCTTAGCAATCTCTTCAGGTGTCTCTCCCTTCTGAACAATTTTGATGGCAACGTTCTGGTTTTTGTATCTGAAATTAAAGGCCAAGCAAGATAAAAAGCTAGTTAACTTTTACAATCATTAAAGAGATCAAAAAAAAAAGTTGCAACAGTTATATGCTTTTCTTGAACATTCCTTCAGCTACTACAGTCTTTCTAGGGTGCAATCCAAGAATACTAAAGCGAAACTTTCACTAAACTATCCATGGTATGATTCTAAGTTTCTGCACTTCAGAAAAGAAATTTAAGGAATTACAAACCATTTTCACGACAATTATAAAGATTAAAGACATGGAAAGTACAAATGAANTAAAAAAAAAAAAAAAAAAAATGTCAACTTACTTTCCCTCGTAAACTTTGGCATGAGCTCCTTCTCCAATCTTCGGTCCGACCAAGAGAAGCTTTGGATCCACCAACCATTTGGGGTCCAAAGTAAACTCTTCCCCTTTGTAAAACCCATTACCAGATCCCATCTCCCAATTGCTCTATTTACCCAATCAAACTCTCTCAAATAATAAATGGCATCTACTGTAATGTTTAACAGCACCAAAATTGAAACTTTATAATTTGCACACCCATTTCAAGCAAAACCCATGTCAGAAATCCACCTTTACAAGATTCTCTTTCCCAAAATAGATATAAATGACAAATTTTTATAACTACCCAACTTGATTTATCAGGAACCCATAGCCCAAAACACATGCACTGGCCACTGAGGTCACTGGGGCATTTCAACAAACACTTGTTTCGGAAAGGTAAAATAAATATCCTCACCACCGAATAAATGAATAATCCTCTTGCCGACAGCTGCAGATCAATTGTTACCAGAGAAAATAAGAAGATAAGCAACTGATCAAGTTTATCGGGGGGAAAAAAATGAAAAAATTGACTTTTTAGAGGAAACAAGATTCTAAGGTTGTTGAGACGAAGTGTCGGAGAATTTATTGATCAGAGTTTCTCGCACCGCGTTGTACTTTTCTTTATTTTTATGCTCAGTTTTTTGTGTACTATTAATCAATTCATCTGTAGAGGAGCTGCGGGGAAGTGGGACCCAGATTCCCTATATTTAAAATTGGTAAATTATTGCATGTTTGGAGATAGATTTGTAAACAAGTTGAGTCGAATCGAGTTCGAGTTCTGACTAGAGCCTTAGTCAAATCGGATCGAGCTCGACCAGTTAAATAACTCATTGACTAAATGAGTTTCAAACGAGTCGAGCAAAATCGAGCTGAGTTGAAACTGTAAGCTCGATCAACTCATTTTGCTTATGTAAGAAAACATAAAACATAAAAAATAAAATAAACAAGATTTTAATTTTATTATATAATTTTCAGTTTTGTACTTTTATGTTTATTTTTCTCCTCAAAATCTATATAAATCTTTAATACGAAGGAACCATTTTCAAGGGATTTTCTGTGGCTCTACATGCAGAGACATTATTTCGCATGTTTCCTGATTTTGGTTATTTTTCTTTTTACCTCAGCATTTTACTATTAACGAGACATTTGAAAAAAATTACTATAAGATCTTTGGACTTTGATGAACCAAGCTTCCACTTGCACCTTTTCTATTTGAAAGGAACAAGCTAAAATAGCATCTTACAAGCACGGCCGTCTCCAACATTTTTTGGGCCCAGAGCGAAAAATAAAATTAGGCCCCCCTAATTACAATATTGAATAATATATTTTTAATATTTTATTAATAAAATACAAATATTTAACGATACAACTAAAACAAGATGTCCTCATACCCACAAAATACAACAAAAACAAGATTAATGTTCTAACATGAATGTCATTTAATATATTATTATATTTTTTATTTATATTATTATATATATATATATATAATATTTTAATATTTATATATGGGGCCCCAATTAATTGGGGGCCCTGTGCAGTTGCTCACCCTGCTCCCCCAAAAGCCGGCTCTGCTTACAAGTTACTGTCATCCACACTGAAACTTATCCTGGAGGTATAATTTGGTTCCTTTTTCAGGTTTTTGTAATGTATCACATTGAGGCATATTTTACAGAGTCAGAACATGACATTATAAATATAATGTACACAAAATGAAATTTAAAAGTGGAATATAACATCATATTTTTCCACAATTTAAAAGAAAAAATAGACTAACACTAAGATAGAATGCTATTAGGCATACCTAACAGTTAAACAATTATACTTATTTTAATAAATATGTATTGTTTCATATATAAATGATATTCTAAAAACAAAATAAACAAAAATACGACACTTTTCTAATATGCGTTTTTCGTCCAAAAAATTAAACGGGATCAACCCGCTTAAAAATTACACTATCTTTCTAAAAAAATATAATAATTGTGGACTAGAAACAATTTAAAACTCCCCGAATAATTTTGTTTCAGTTTTTGTTATAAATTATACAGTATTGTTTTATTGCTGTCTTGAAGTGAAAACTAGTCGCAGTAATCTTGCACATGGATATGGTTACCCACTCGAGAACATGTTTATTGAACAAGTTATAATGATCCCACCAATGTATGTTTCCAGATTTAGATTTCATTTTTAAATGCTTCAATTTGTCTTCTTGTGCAATTATTCATCATGTCATCTGCACTCACTCTCTTGTCTCTC